CACACAAGCCTGAGTGTTTGTCTGCCCTGCAACTGTGTGTGCATCTCTTTTATCACTGTGTGTGTCTGTCTGCTCTAACACTTATTAAAGCCCACCAGATGCAGATTCCTCCAGCCAGGGGCGGACTGACCATTTGGAAACTCAGGCACTGCGCGAGGGCCTGGGGTCAGTAGGGGGCAGGGGCGGACTGACAACTCCTGGGGCCCCCAGGCAATAGGGGATCATGGGGCCCCTGTGTCCTTGCCCAAACTCAAAAAAACCTATGAAAAAGGTACCAGGGGCATCTTATGGGGCCCCCTACTGACCCTGGGCCCTTGGGCAGTGCCCGAGTTTCCAAATGGTCAGTCCACCCCTGGTAAGGAGCCCCATGAGATGCCCCTGGTTTCTGTACCTTTTTTATAGGCTTTTTTGAGTTTGGGCAAGGACACAGGGGCCCCATGATCCCCTATTGCCCGGGGGCCCTGTGAGATGTCAGTCCGCCCCTGCCTCCAGCACAGATTGATGAATCTGTGCCTAATATATTCAGGCAGCCACTACAGGCGACTGTCAAACTACACAAAAAGCAGCTGCATCTAATTGAATGCAGATGATGTTTAGCTGAAATCTTCCTTCCAGCAACTTAAATTTTTCAGTCAAAGAAGATCAGCCAAGAGGGGACTGGCGTAGAATTTTGACTGGTTTCTAACCTGTAAGAGTGATAAAACCCTCCAATGCTTCTGATAGAGAGCAGAAAATGCTCTTTACTTATATTATTGATGAAAAAAATTAGTATGCTTAATCTACAGTACTTTGTAAAATAAAACAAGTATAAATGATTGAAACAAAAATATTTTTTTTTAAATCAATATATTCAGTTCAACAGAATTTCAAGGAATATCACATATTATAAAACTACTGTAAAGTAATACGTTTTGCTTTTATTTTCACAGCTTGTCTTCCAAATTCAGCTGCTTCCTGATTTGAAGAAAAAATGAAAGATGACGTTTGTAGTCAATATTTGTGGCATCATCAGGTGAGACAAGCTGCCCAGAATGATGACGTTCCTGAAGAGCAATGAAAAAGTAATTTTCTGTTACTATAATACAGTACAAAATACACTGCTCAAAAAAATAAGGAACACTTTTTAATCAGAGTATAGCATCAAGTCAAGTAAACTCCTGGGATATTGATCTGGTCACTTAAGTAGCAGAGGGGGTTGTTAATCAGTTTCAGCTGCTTTGGTGTTAATGAAATTAACAACAGGTGCACTAGATGGGCAACAATGAGATGACCCCCAAACAGGAAGTTTTACAGGTGGAGGCCACCAACATTTTTTTCCTATTCATCTTTTCTGAGTGTTTTCACTAGTTTTCCATTTGGCTAGGATCAGTGTCACTACTGGTAGCATGAAGCAATACCTGAACCGTACAGAGCTTGCACAGGCAGTCGAACTCCTCCAGGATGGCATATCAGTATGTACCATTGCCAGAAGGTTTGCTGTGTCTCCCAGCACAGTCCCAAGAGCATAGAAGAGATTCCAGGAGACAGGCAGTTACTCTAGGAGAGCTGGACAGGGCTGTAGATGGTCCTTAACCCATCAGCAGGACCATCTGCTCCTTTGTGCAAGGAGGAACAAGATGAGCACTGTCAGAGCCCTTATAAATTACCTACAGCAGGCCACTGGTGTGAATGTCTCTGGTCAAACCATCAGAAACAGACTTCATGAGGGTGGCCTGAGGGCCCAACGTCCCCTATTGGGCCCTGTGCTCACTGCATGGCACATAGAGTTCAATTGCCATTGAACACCAGAATTGGCAGGTCCACCACTGGCACCTTGTGCTTTTCACAGATGAGAGCAGGTTCACCCTGAGCACATGTGACAGACGTGAAAGGGTCTGGAGAAGCCGTGGAGAATGTTATGCAGGTTGTATAATCATGCAGCATGACCTTTTTGGTGGTGGGTCAGTGATGGTCTGGGGAGGCATATCCATGGAGGGACACACAGACCTCTACAGGCTAGACAATGGCACCCTTCAGACTGTCCAAGAGCTCAGTGATGCCGTGGTCCAGATCTCTGGGAAAAAATACCCCAGGACACCATCCGTGGTCTCATTAGGAGCATGCCCGATGTTGTCAGGCATGCATACAAGCACGTGGGGGCCATGCAAACTACTGAGTGCCATTTTGAGTTGCTGCAATGAAATTTCAAAATGGATTAGCCTGCTGCATAAGTTTTTCACTTTGATTTTCGGGGTGTCTTTGACTTCACTCCTCTGTAGGTTGATAATTTTCATTTCCATCAAACAATGGGGCATCCTTACGTTGTTAACACATTACTCAGTCCATATCAGTATAGATATCCAGCATGATATTTTTCATGAGATCTGATGTGTTTTCAAAGTGTTCCTTTAATTTTTTTGAGCAGTGTATAATGGGGTTTATTTACTAAAGCTGGAGAGTGCAAAATCAGTCTCACTTCTGCATAGAATCCATTCAGCTTCTAACTTCAGCTTGTTCAGTTATGCTTTGGCAATAAAACCTGGGAACTGGTTGATTTCGTTGCAGAAGTGAGCCTGATTTTGCACTCTCCCTCTTCAGTAAACAAACAGAAAATGAACAGAGTGAAAAAGGTGAGGGTGCCAAAAGATCGTTCAATAAAAGTTTATTAGTCATGATAAAATATCATAGGATAATGCCAAAGCCTTTCAGAGGCTCAGAACTCATTAGGGCTGTCAAACGAGATGATATAAAACATAGATCAAAATATCTAAAAACTGCAATCAATTATAAAAATATAGTATACTGTAAAGTCGTGTGTAACCATCTAATAAAATATAATGGTAATTAGCTTAAATGTGGTGTCTCAAGGATATAATCCAATCAACAAAAGTTTAGTTTTATGACTTTCCTGTCTACTTTTATTAAAAAAAGAGTTCACAATTACATAGGGTACCCACAAAGGGGTTATTCAGCACCTCTTTGTCAAAAAAAAGCCCTTTTGCTCATGCCCTCAGGACTAGGGCCCTTGTCTATTTCTCTTTTACATAGTTCTATCAAACTCGTAGGTGCGGCCCCTGTCTCCTGGGTGGAGACACACTAAAAGTCTTTTTCATTCAACACAGCGAGCTGAACAAGAAAAAATTAAGAGATCTCTGTGCTAACACAAGCGGATGTTAGTGTGGTGAACACCATCGTTGTGCCTCTGTGTTTTGACAGGGGGGCTCCCCCTGCCAGAACACACTGATCAGCGCTCGTAGCCATTGGCTGCCAGTGCTGGTCAGATGCTGGTTTCCAGCATGCCCATTCGACAGAAGCTGGTCGTGAGACCGGCTTCTGTAGAACAGACGATTTTTGGCATGTGTGTACAAAGCTTGAGTCTGCTCCCTGACCACCCATCTAAAACATAACTTAGGGCTGCTGGGGACTGTACACATGCAGCAGCCGCAATACTGCCCTTCATGGTCGCAGCAAATTTAACTCAGCATGCCAGGTTTGACAGGTGGTGCTGCCTGTCAGACTAGCCAATTAAAATCAATGTGGCTGTGCTACAACCACAGATCAATTGCTTGGCTCACATTTGTGGCCTGCTGTTTGTACAAAGAAATCCCCTTTTGGCAAGAAAATGTAAAAAAAAGTCTAACAAAAATCCAGGCAGTGGCAGGATTGCTTTCTGAATGCCTACAATATGCTTCTCTGCAGGAATTGTAAATGGTGTCTTCTAGGTGTAGCCTGCTGACAGCACCCAATATGTACAGTGGATGTGTTTAAATGTGCTAAGGAAGTGGGGATTGTAGTGGGGGAAGGAGATGGATTAGAGGAGTTGTCTGAATTTAAAGAGGTTTAAATTCCATATATGAAATATGAACAAAGCATATCCTTCTATAGCAGCAATGGGCAAACTACGGCCCGCGGGCCGTATACGGCCCGGCGGACCTTTTAATCCGGCCCGTGCAGCGTGATACTGTCAGGATGGCTGTCAGGATGTGTGTAGGCGGGGCAGCGTGACAAACGTGAGGGGAGCTCGGCTCCTCTCACAGTCCGCCCTGAAGACCGGAACGGCGCGGGAACACGGCGAGAGGAACGCGCGGAGCAAAGGTAAGTGAATTGACACAGGGGGGACTTGGCTTACTACTTGGGGGGGAATAATATGGGGGATGAATAATATGGGGAATGAATTACTATAGGGGGGATGAATTACTATATGGGGGATGAATTACTATGGGGGATGAATTACTATGGGGGATGAATTACTATGGGGGATGAATTACTATATGGGGGATGAATTACTATATGGGGGATGAATTACTAAATGGGGGATGAATTACTATGGGGGATGAATTACTATATGGGGGATGAATTACTATGGGGGATGAATTACTATGGGGGATGAATTACTATATGGGGGATTAATTACTATGGGGGATGAATTACTATATGGGGGATGAATTACTATGGGGGATGAATTACTATATGGGGGATGAATTACTATATGGGGGATTAATTACTATGCTTACTATGGGGGTATATTACTATACTTACTATGGATGACACACACACATCATTCATCTACTCTTGGTCCGGCCCCCGGGTCCAATATATGAACCCATTGCAGCCCTCAAGTCAAAAAGTTTGCCCTCCCCTGTTCTATAGTGTCCACTTGTCTCAATCCAGAGCATTGTGTCATTTATGTCTACTGCTTCATCCTCTGCTATCAGCATGAGTCACTTCTGACAAGTTTATCTGACACCAGACTGGGGAATCCCGCTGACAGCTTAACTAGTTGCCGACCGCAGTTAGCCGAATGACGGCTAAACTGCGGCCGGCCAGTTCTGAGTGGACGTCATATGACGTCCTCCCAGAACGCGCTCTCCTGCGCGCCCCAGGGGGCGCGCACCCGGCGATCTCCGTGATCGCTGTGTCCTACAGACACAGCTGATCACATGATGTGGTAAAAGGCCAATCATACCGGCCTTTTACCACGTGATCAGCGGTGTCCAATGACACGCTGATCACAGGGAAATGCAAGTGCCAGTTCTCGGCTGCACTTTCCTCACGCTGTCAGATCGTGAGGAAAGTACTGCCGAGAACCGGCAGTTGTCAGAGCGAGGATCGGCACCAATCATCAGGGCACTGATGATCAGTGCCCTGATGATCGGTGCCCAGCAATGCCACCCGCAAGTTCTGCCCACCTGTGCCCAGCAGATCACCCACCTGTGCCACTCTGCAGTGTCACACACCTGTGCCCAGAAGTGCCACCTACCTGTGCCCAGCAGTGCCACCCACCTGTGCCCACCCACCTGTGCCCACCAGTGCCACCCACCTGTGCCCACCCACCAGTGCTGCCCACCAGTGCCACCCACCAGTGCAGCCCAGCAGTGCTGCCAGTCAGTGCCACCAGTCAGTGCCCAGGGGTTGTGCCAGTCAGTGCCGCCAGTCAGTGCCAGTGATGCCAGTCAGTGCCGTCTATCAGTACCCATCATCAGTGTCACCTATCAGTGCCGCCTATCAGTGCTGCATATTAGTGCCGCCTATCCGTGACACCTCATTAGTACTGCCTATCAATGCCCCTATTAGTGCTGCCTCATCAGTGCTGCCTATCAGTGCCCATCAGTGCTGCCCTCATCATCAACGCACATCAGTGAAGGAGAAAAAATACCTGTTTGAAAAATTTTATAATAGAAACAAAGAAACTTTTTTTTTTTTTTCAAATTTTTTGCACTTTTTAAATTTATAGCGCAAAAAGTAAAGCGCCCAGTGGCGATTAAATACCACCAAAAGAAAGCTCTATTTGTGAGAAAAAAATGATCAAAATTTCATATGGGTACAATGTTGCATGACCGCGCAATTGTCAATCAAAGTGCGACAGCGCTGAAAGCTGAAAATTGGCCTGGTAAATAAGGGGGTATAAGTGCCTGGTAGGCAAGTGGTTAATGAGTTTTCGGTTCTTAGGGCGCTGTGGCCCAGCTTCTTAACAACCAGTTAAGTGTTGTTAAGTTAATTGACGGCTTTTTTGTTTTGCCAGCTTTTTTTAATTTACATTTCAGCTGTCAATCGGGAATCCCACTGACAGCTGAAAGAACCAATCCTAAAGGTATCAGTTTCAGATATCGGAGCATTCTCACGAGTACTGATACTCATGCAAATGCTTAGTATGGGCACCGATAACGATCTCTTTGCAATCCTACATTTCATTATACAGTGAAAATGCAATGATTCCCTGCTGTCGCAAGCTGTGCATAGTGTTTTACAAGTGTTCTGTATCTTTTTTTTTTTAAAAGAAATAAACATTAATATGGTGTGCTCTCAATCAGCAGGAAATTACAAAGTTTGGAAGGGGATACATTTGCTCCCACATCAACAATCCCAGCAGGGGGGTGGAAGAAGTTGGGTCAGGGTGCAGAACCTTTAAGGACATCACTGTTGAATTATAAATTCAATTATAAATTATAACAGTTATAGTTGGTGGCTACTTGAAGTAAATTACAATTTGTCGGTTGATTCTGGTAGTTTGACATCCTACTTATTCTGAATGCAGGAGCAGTGCTTATTCCCAATGCAGGTTGTTCAATGTCTAATGTTCATAATTATAACTACTCCATGCCGTGATCACTTCATGCACCAGGAATGACAAAGATCCATAGACCACCTGCATATTCCTAACACCATAAAGTCAAAGCATATTCCCAACATTCTGCTGGCAAAGGCGCAACAAGTTCCGGTAAACCCAGGAGGGGAATGAGCTTTGATTCCTTGCCATCTATATAAATCTAATATCTATTTACTCAAGGCAAATAGACTATTCACTTTGTGAGTGTAATTGCACTCACCAAGCTTAGTGAATCAGGTGAAGCTCTGCTGGCTCTTAAACTCCAATCATGTGCAAGCAAAAACGCAGTTTTTTTTTTTTTTCTTTGCATGTGATTGAGTATTGTTTGCAAAGGGAAGCTCAATCACATTTGATAAACGTTGGGGAAATCTCCCTTGCAGAGTGAAACTTCCCTTGCAAAGTGAACAGTGTACTTACCTTAAGTAAATCAATCCCAAATTTTACAATATTTTAAAATTAATTTTATTATCAATCCCATGGAATGCCACTTACTCCTGAGAAATATTCTGCTGAAAACCACATTGAAACGGACATTTCCAAAACGTCTTCTGAGGCCCCCACAGCTGACTGGTTCTTCCCTCTGACCTCCACCCATTACACACAGGGCAACAATATAAACATCATCATACTGGGAGTGATTGTCACTGAAACAGGTAAACTGAGCAGTTAACCCTTTCAAATTCACATAGTATCCACCACCAATCTGATGTTGCAAGAATCACTGGCCTTCATAGAGTAACTCTCAATAATATTTATCAGTTCTAACAGAAAAATAGGAGGTCCAAGCTGCTCGTGCAGCCACCTTGTCTCGTCTGACGGACAGTGGTCTCCAAACTGCGGCCCATGGGCCGAATGTGGTCCTTTGCTTCCCTCTATCGGCCCTCGGGGTACTATTCTTCCCACTGATACCAACAAGGAGGCACCATTTCTTCCACTGGCACCAACTATGGGGCATTTTTCCTTCCACTGATACTAATGATAGGGCACTATTCCTCCCACTGACACTAATGATGGGGCACTATTCCTCCCACTAACACCAATGATGGGACACTATTCCTCCCCCTGGCACCAATGATGAAGCATTATTCCACCCACGGTCACCAATGATGGGGCACTATTCATCCCACTGACACCAATGATGGGGCACTATTCCTCCCACTGATACCAATGATAGGGCACTGTTCCTCCCACTAATACCAATTATGGGGCAATATTCCTCCCACTAATATCAATGATGGGGCACTGTTCCTCCAGCTAATACCAATGACTGGACACTATTCCTCCATCAACTGGCTACAAGCATTGTGTAATTTTCTTTTTACTCCTACTGACGCTGGGGCATTTTCTACTCCTACTGGGCACTCCAGCCCTCCTAAAGTCTGAAGGACAGTAAACCAGCCCATTGTTTATAAAGTTTGGAGACCCCTGCTCTAGGACATGGTGGTATGGAGCAGCCCCACCAAATTAAAGGATCTGAGGGGTGTGGTGTAGGTGTGCTTGAGTGTTTATAATGTCTCTATTTGCCCTTATTTTAAACTGATCAGTTTATTCTCTCATTCTATAAGACAAGGTTTCACAATTCACAAACCAGCATATGATTTAGCTGAATAAAGTTATGACTGAACCTTGTAATATAGTTGTGTTTAGTTTCTAACTGAATTGTATCTTTTTCTACATAGGTGTCACTACCTCCTAGAAAGGTTATTCCATTACAGTAGAAATAACAAGAATTGCATGAAACTCAGCTGTAGTTTGGTCAATTCCCTACCCTTTCAGATGTGTATTATTAAAACTGAACTCAATAGGAAAGATGAAATTAGGGTGGCTTTTGATGGTTGTTAGGGGGAAAAGTGCTTCTAACTTTAGGAAGCATTTGTTATCACAAACATTGATTTTTCAGCTTGTTCAAAAATGTCAGCATTATAAAGCAAAGAGTGAAAATAAGTGCTTCTGAATTTAAGAAGCATTTATTATCACCAACATGATTTTTCAGCTTGTTGAAAAATTGCAGCATGGTAAAAAACATTTTAAAGAAGAAAGAAATTGTTCACTCATGCGTCCATAAGACAAGTAGCAAGGCATATAGCTGAAGTTACTGGTTACATGCTTATGTCTCTTCATCTGTCATTATTGGGAAAACATCTACCTGTCTGTGCCCACCTGTAAGCTGGCCATACATGGTTGGATTTTGTTTGAACAATCCTACAGAAATTCTGAAAAAAAAAATGGTTCATCAAGACTTTCTTTCTTGCCATCGAGTCAACTAATTTTGTTCAAAAACCCTTAAAATTTCATCCAGACCTACTACTTAAATGGAATACCAGACTTATTAAACAGATTTTTATGTTCACAGGTAGAATTTCATTCCAAAAAAAATTCCATTCTGTTCTTTCAAATTTTCCCATTGCTGCATTAGAAAAAGAACATCAATTTGACCCCAGTAACCATTAGAAAATCAAATGAACAAAAATCAATCTTATGAAAACTTTAATAAAAATTCAACTTGTGTAAGGCCAGCTTTACTTCTCAATGGCTTGGCACTCTTTATGTACTTGGTTAAAATATCAGATTCGTATTATTAAAACTGTACACCAGACCATTTATGATGTGACCATTTATTGCAGGGCCTCATCAGAAGACCCTTGAAGATTCTGTGCTAATTAAGGCTTATGATCCTTCTGCATTACTCCTGCCTTTTGTTAAATGCAATGACTTTCATGACTGCTTAGTACAGACATTTTTATCTGATCATCTTGTTACTGATGTTTGAATTTTGGGGAGTACAAGGGCAGCATTGTGTTCATTCTAAAAATTCTGAGTAAACCTTGTGCACACTGCCATATACCCTTTCTAGCCAACTTTGCATAAAAGCAGGGACTTTTAGTTCACATACTTTGCAATACATGTTTAAGCTGGCTAACTGTGTCAAATAATCCCTCTCTGGCCAGTTCCTACTCTGCTCTGCAAAATGCAAACGCTCCAATAGATATAGTGCCAATATGGGGCAGAAAAACACAAGTTGTAGGGGAGCTACAGGTACGGTCACTGACCTGGACTATGCAATAGAAAAAAGACCTATGCTCAAATCCCAATAACATAAATATGCAGTACATACTGTATATTCCAGCATTGTGTGCATTGCCACTTCTCTGCACAGTTTAAGGTTCATCAGACCCCACTGTCATCATACAGGGACCAAGGAGTTCAACTCTACCGAAAGTGTTGGTTTTTCTGGAGATAAGCTGATTTCTCAGGTCAGAGCAGGATTTAGTACCACAGGAAGCAGAAAGGATGAATAATAATAAAACCTTGTGTTGTGAATAGATGCTTTAAAAAAGCACTGTTAGTAATGATTCTTTTTGTGACTTGCCATTAAGCCTACCGTTTATCAAGAAAAGGGGATGCATGGGAACTTCTGATATCTGTAAATAAGGACTTAGAAGGAGGTAAGAATGAGGTGTCAGACATATTGGGGTTTATTTGCTAAAGCGGCAGAGTGCAAAATCAGGCTCACTTCTGCAGAGAAACCATCAGCTACCAGGTTTAATTGCCAAAGGGAGTAGTTAGAACAATTAACAAACCAAAAAGGAAAGGATGATTCCCCAATCTTAGTTGGCAGTAAATAAGTCCAGTCCCAGGGTAGAAGTTTGAACTTGGATGGTGTATTCACTTATTTCTACTTTATACCTTTGCTTTGTTAGAAGCACACACCT